CTCCAAAATATACAAACAGCTCATGCAGCTCAATGTCAAAAAAACCAACCCAATCAAAAAATTGGCAGAAGATCTACATAGACATTTCTCCAAAGAAGACATACAGGTGGCCAAAAAGCACATGAAAAAATGTTCAACATCACTAATTATTAGAGAAATGCAAATCAAAACTACAATAGGTATCACCGCATACCAGTCAGAAAGGCCATCATCAAAAAATCTACAAACAGGGACTTCCCTGGTGGTCCCGTGGTAAAGAATCTGCCTTACAATGCAGAGTATGCGGGTTCAATCACTGGTCAGGGAACTAAAGTCCCACATGCCGCGGGGCATCTAAGGCCACACACCACAACTACTAAGCTTGCACGCCTCAACTAGAGAGCCCACGTGCCACAAACTGCAGAGCCCATGTGCTCTGGAACCCGTGCACCACAGCTACAGAACCAACATGCCCTGGAGCCAGTGTGCCACAACTAGAGAAGAGAAAACCCGCATGCCACAACTAGAGAGAAGACTGCGCACTGCAACGAAAGATCCTGCATGCCTCAATGAAGATCTTGCACACTGCAACTAAGACCTGATGCAGCCAAAAATAAATTTAAAAAAAACAAACTACAAACAGTAAATGCTGGAGATGGTGTGGAGAAAAGGGAACCCTCCTACACTGTTGGTGGCCATGTAAATTGGTACAACCTCTATGGAGAGCAGTATGGATGTTCCTTATAAAACTAAAAATAGAACTACCATAGGGCCCAGCAATTCCACGCCTGGGCATATATCCAGAGAAAACCATAATTCAAAAAGATACATACACCCCAATGTTCATTGCAGCACTATTTACAATAGCCAGGACATGGCAACAACCTGAATGTCCATCGACAGAGGAATGGATAAAGAAGTGTGGTACATATATATAATGGAATATTACTCAGCCATAAAAAAGAATGAAATAATGCCATTTGCAGCAACGTGGATGGACCTAGAGACTGTCATACTAAATGAAGTAAGTCAGACAGAGGAAGACAAATGTATCACTTATATGTGGAATCTAAAAATAGGGTACAAATGAACTTATCTACAAGAGAAAAATAGAGTTACAGTCATAGAAAACAAACTTATGGTTACCAGGGAATAGGGAGAGGGGGAGAGATAAATGGGAGGTTTGGATTGACATATACACACGACTGTATATAAAACAGATAACTAATAAGGACCTACTATATAGCACAGGGAACTCTACTCAATACTCTAATGGCCTATGTGGGAAAATAATCTAAAAAAGAATGGATATATGTATATGTATAACTGATTCACTTTGCTGTACACCTGAAACTAACACAACATTCTAAATCAGTTATACTCCAATAAAAATTTTTAAAAAAAGAACAACTTCATGGTAGTAGTTGTTTCTGCAAAGGGAGATAAAGAAAGTAAACCTGAATAGGCAGACAAAGGAGGTTTTAATTTTATCTGAAGTGTTTTATATCTTATGAAAGATACCTGACACAAAATGATAAAATAAATTTTTAAATTCTTGGTTTTGGGTACATGATTTATATCATTCTATTTTATTTTTCTGTATTTTTGAAAATTTTCATTATAAAATGGTGATGTACATAAACTAGCAAAAACTTGTAGAAATAAAAGAAAAGTTGATTTCAAAATACAAGTATTGCAAACTAAGAATTCTACAGATTTAGTAGAAAAAATAAGAACATAGAAGAATTAAATGATACTCATCAATAAATAATCATATACACAATATATTTGTGTACTAATCAATAAATAATCATATACACATATTTGTGTATACATACACAGAGAGAGATATTTAGACACACATATATAATACACAGAAAGAGAACATTACATTTCTCAGAGAGTATACATTCTCTGAATATTTATAGAGCATATACAAAATCAGTCATGTATTTGGCCACAAAATAACTCTTACAAATTTAAGTAAAAAACAGCAAAATAGACAAAGGATATGAATAGGCAATCCTGAGAAAAGAAAATCTAGATAGCCAGCATGTTTATGAAAAGATATTAAATTTACTAGTAATTAAAGAAACACAAATTAAAGTAATGAGATACCACTTTTCACCCATGAGATCTTCCAACATTTAAGAGTAAGTAGATCTTAAAAATAGTGCTAAGGGATTTCCCTGGTGGGGCAGTGGATAAGAATCCACCTGCCAGTGCAGGGGGCATGGGTTCGAGCCCTGGTCCGGGAAGATCCCACATGCTGCGGAGCAACTAAGCCCGTGAGCCACAACTACTGAAGCCCATGCACCTAAAGCCCGTGCTCTGCAACAAGAGAAACCACCACAATGAGAAATGCATGCACCACAACGAAGAGTAGCCCCCACTCGCTGCAACTAGAGAAAGCCCACGCACAGCAATGAAGACCCAACACAGCCAAAAATAATAATAAATAAATAACAAAAAAAAAAACAAAACAAAAACAGTGCTGAGTGAAAGACTAAGCAAATCTATGACAAATACCACATACATAAATTAGAAATACATCCATATAACAATCATGTTGACGGTACATACAACAAAAGGATACATATTAGACATTAGAATGGTTTCCTGGAGTGGTGGGGGATGAGACTGGGAAATGGACATAATGGAAAAATAAATAAAATGAACAGTAATACCTACTGCTTAGGGATGTAGAGGAAAGGGAACCCTCCAACACTGCTGATGGAAATATGAAGAAAACAATCTGACACCGTATGTTAACATATCCTTGAAACAGTGGAATTCTCATCAATAGGGGATGACTAAAGTCATCCACACTGTGAAATATTATATCGGCGTTAAAGGAAACTTAAAACCACACTTGATGCTTTAAAGAATTTCCTAAGGTATTATTGAATGAAAGAGGGTGTAGAAAAGTGAGTATACAGTGATGCCATTCTAGGAAACAGTGATCTCTCCCCACCCCCAACCTAACCCTTTAAATGTATGTTTGAGTACATACATACATGTGTGAGTAAACGTGTGTGTGTACAAGCACAGAGAAAAAATAAGAGGGAACATACACGGAATAGGGTGAGGAACTAAATAATGGAAGGGGGAAGGAAAGGAGAGGGAAAGGCAGAGGCAACCAAAAGAAGAAAAAATAAAGATTGCACTAAAAAAATTCAAGTGTATGATCATATTTATTCATGAATGTAAAAGTGTATATATGAGGGAGTATTTGTAGGCAGAAATTAAATAAGGTTTGTATTGGACTTCCCTGGTGGCGCAGTGGTTGAGAGTCCGCCTGCCGATGCGGGGATCACGGGTTTGTGCCCCGGTCTGGGAAGATCCCACATGCCGCAGAGCAGCTGGGCCCGTGAGCCGTGGCCGCTGAGCCTGCGCATCTGGAGCCTGTGCTCCACAACGGGAGAGGCCACAACAGTGAGAGGCCTGCGTACCGCAAAAAGTAAATAAATAAAAATAAGGTTTGTATTATTTGTCTAACATACGAGTGTCTCAGATAGTTGGAATCTCAGGCCACATTTGAGGTATGTTGGTCATGTAGGTCTCGGTTGTTGCCTGCTTTGATAACTGTGCGTATGCAGTACTGGCACTAAGTTTATTATCTCTGTGATTTGCACTATTTGTGGAATCTTTGTGGTTACAGTTCTTTCTTGAGTGATTCTAATACCTGCATAATTTTTAAGAAAAATAGTGAAAGCAAGATTGTTGCATTAACAAATAAAATTTGTCAATTTGTAGGCCCTAATTTAATGTTTACTTAGAAATATGTGACTAAAAACTTGGTGGAAACTGTGTCTTAGGAATTGGAGAGACTGACTTAAGAAAAATATCTTGTTATCAGGATGCATTTTAGTAAATGAGGTATGCTGAGAAAAAGTTGTAGAGGAAAAGAAACTTGCCCATAACTGAGCACAGACTAGGCTTTTGCATCTTACCAAGCTTAAGTTGTAAATATTCATATAAAATGTACACCCTGGGGCTTCCCTGGTGGCGCAGTGGTTGAGAGTCTGCCTGCCGATGCAGGGGACACGGGTTTGTGCCCCGGTCCGGGAAGATCCCACATGCCGCGGAGCAGCTGGGCCCGTGAGCTGTGGCTGCTGAGCCTGTGTGTCTGGAGCCTGTGCTCTGCAACGGGAGAGGCCACAACAGTGAGAGGCCTGCATACCGAAAAAAAAAAAAAAATGTACACCCTGTTTATGAAAGGACTAAGCACTAACAAATAGCATTTGGAGGTTCCTTAAAAAAATAAAAATAGAACTACCATATAACCCAGCAATCCCACTATTGGGCATATACCCTGAGAAAACTATAATTCAATAAGAGACATGTACCACAATGTTCATTGCAAAACTATTTACAATAGCCAGGACATGGAATCACCCCAAATGCCCATCAACAGATGAATTATCACAAAGAAGATGTGGCACATATACACAATGGAATATTACTCAGTCATAAAAAGGAACGAAATTGAGTTATTTGTAGTGAGGTGGATGGACCTAGAGTCTGTCATACAGAGTGAAATAAGTGAGAAAGAGAAAAACAGATACCATATGCTAACGCATATACATGGAATCTAAAAAAAAAAATGGTACTGATGAACCTAGTTGCAGGGCAGGAATAAAGATGTAGACATAGAGAGTGGACTTGAGGACACAGGATGGAAGGGGGAAGCTGGGATGAAGTGAGAGTAGCATCAACATATATACACTACCAAATGTAAAACAGCTAGTGGGAAGCAGCTGCATAGCACAGGGAGATCATCTCGGTGCTTTGCGATGACCTAGAGGGGTGGGATAGGGAGGATGGGAGGGAGGCTCAAGAGGGAGGGGATGTGGGGACATGTGTATGCATATAGCTGATTCACTTTGGTGTACAACAGAAACTAACACAGTATTGTGAAGCAATTATTCTCCAATAAAGATCTATTTTAAAAAAAACAAACAAATATTAGGAATCAGTACCTGTACAGTGTAATTTACTATATTGTATTTGTATTTCAGATGCCTTTGGTGCTTCATGAAGAATATTTCTAGATATATCACAGACATTAAGCCTTTGCCACCCAACATAAAAGATAGACTGATCAAAATAATGAGCGTGCAGGGGCAGATAACAGATTCGAATATAAGTGAGGTAAGAGCATATACAAAGAGCATGTATAGCCTGTAAAGCAGGCTATTATATTTTACTGTTTAGCTGTGGTTTCACATTTATGGAACAGTGATTTATAGTAGGATTAGTAATAATTTTAAAATATAATAAAGTGTTGGGGTTCTTTTTTTCTCCAGATAACCAGAATGTCCATGTGTAATAGTTTCTAAAAAATCTTCTCCCACTATTCTTTCAGGTGTTTCTCTTGTCTTCATGGTACCAGCATCCATGAACTCCATATTTTCAAGAAGTTTAAACTCTTTGATTGAGTTCACCTTAATAAAGCTGGAAAAAAATTAAAATGCAGGGTGAATAAACAAATGGCAAAAAAAAAGACCCACAGTAAGAAATATATATGTTACATTGTGACGCTAGCGCACAAGCCACACCTCTGTGTAACAGTACTCTGTACAGTACACTTGGATATTTTCTATTTTATTCTAGTATGTCTTATTCCATTTAAAAAATGATCGTAGCCTATTGACTTTGTCCATTCATGGTTAGCAGTCAGTTAAAAATCACTCTTCTAAACTCTTCTCATTCTTCTTGGGTACCTCACTCCAGCTAATTTATACTTACTCCCCTTCACTAACTAAGCTAAAATTAACTATTCTGTAAGGGAATAAGTGTAGTAAAGGCCTCCAACTTGAATTAAAATTCTAGCCTTGCTGCTCTTTCTGACATTGAACCACAGTTGTCTTAACTGTAAAATGGGTTTGCAGCTATCATCACTCACTGCCTACAGAGACTGGAACTACTTATTGCTGACTTTACTACATACTCTGCCTAAAGCCTGTGATCAAAAGGAAGCAAGCTCTGATGGTAGCACTCCCCATATGTCTACAATGGTGACTTCACATTGGAATTGTGCTTCAGTGTGCCATAGTGTTTCCTCTACATTAACTTGATGTGCCTTTAATGCTTTATTTTCTTCCTGTTAGCTTGCATTTGAACATAGACATTTTAGTGTTGTAGTCTGCTTTGCTCTTTGGAGGTAGAATCCAGCTCTTATTGTTGATGGTTCTGTGGATGTATATAATGTATGTGTGGCTCACAGATGAAACATTGACGCTACAGAAAACGTGGTTTTCTTCACTTCCCCACATCCCTTTAACCTGTATTTCAGTGACTTAAATTTTTGTTTTATGACAATCCTGAACATTCATTTAAACCTAATTTTACCTGAATAAAAAAGGGCTAAGGGGGTAAATGAGATAGAAAAATCAAAAGCGTTATTTTCCTTGGTGTTTCCGTCTAATCCCCATCCTTATGAAAGTCCTGCTTATGAAATTATTTAAAAGACCAGATCTAACGTTTTTTTTAAAGTTGCACACATCTGGGGATGGCTGTTTTTGAAAAATTTCCTAAATCTTTTTGTAGTCTCTGGGTGGAGAAGGCCTTTTTAAACATGACACCAAGTTAGAAAACAAGAAGAAAAAGATTGATAGATTTAAATACATAAAAATATAAACTTCTTTATGGCAAGAAGAAAAAAATAAAGTAACAAACTAGGAAAAATATTTGCAGTATGTATGAAATTCTATTTTTTTAATCTTGCCAATGTAAATCATGCCTGCAAACCACTAAGAAAAATCAAAACAAACAAATAATAAAACAAAAGAATCAGGAAATACTCCAAGGAAAAAATATAAATCAGCAATAATACGTAAGAGGATATTTAACCTTATTAGTAATCAAAGTCACAGTTTGTCTTTCAGTTTAGCAGAGACTTAAAAAATAGTAATACCTGGTGCTGGCAATAGTGTGGGGAGCAATCACTTTTATCCCCTGCTGTGAGAGTGTAAATTGATTTAAAAAAACCTTTTAGGAGGACAGTTTGGCATTCTATCAAAAGTCCTAAAAATTTGCTTACCATTGACTCAAAAATTTCACTTCTGTTATTTTTTTCCAGTTTTATTGAGATATAAGTGACATATAACCTTGTGTAAGTTTAAGGTGTACAACACACGTGATGACTTGATACACTTATATATTATGAAATGGTTACCACGGTAGGTTAGTTAACATCGCCATCACCTCACATAATTACCATTTACTGGTGTTAATCTCAAGAAAATAATAATTTAAAAAGCACACAAGAATGCTCACCATAACATTTTCGTAATAATAAAATAGCTAACAGTTATATATAGCATATATTATAAGCAAGGCACCTTTATTTCTCACAAATATCATCCTCCTCTTAATGAGGATAGTGAGGCACAAAAAGAAAGCAGAGCTTGATCACAATTACAGGGTTGGAACTCAGGCAGCCTGCCTCCAGGGTACATGCTCTTATACACTGAACTATATTGCCTCTTAAAATCAGTCTGAATGTTCAGCTTAAGTGTTTGCCAGTGTAGGATGCATTTAATAAGTTACAGTGCATGCATAAAATGAAATAGTATGCAACCACAATTATTATTTTTATTAAAAGTGCCCATTTATAAATATATGTGATCTGATCCCATTTTTCTTCAAATATTTTTTTAAAAACTCAAAAAGCATCAAAACTAATATTATGTTTGTCACTGGGTGTTGACATTATGGGTAATTTTAGCTATAACTAGTTAAACGCATGGCCTTTGGAATTAGGAAGACCTGGCTTCCAGTCCTAGCTCTCTCTGCTCCTTTTTTAGCTGTGTACTTTGTGTTGCTACTTAAGCTCTGGGTGACTCAATTTTCTCTTTTATAAAATAGCTATGACCAATCTCTTAGGGTGGTGTGTGTGTGTGTATGTGTGTGTGTGTGTGTATGTGTATGTAAGAGAGAGAGAAAGAGAGAATATTAAATGACATATTTTATGTAACACTTAGTACCCTTCCCGGTAAGTGCTCAATAAATAGAAATAGTTATTTGTATCATTTCTATAATTTTTCTGTGCTGTCTGAATGTTTTATAATAACAGTACATTACTTTCATGTTCAGAAAAGTGTAAGCCATTTCTATTTTCATAAAAATAAAGCAAAAGAGAAGGAAAATACCCCCAGAAAAAGAGCTCAGAATGCTTTGAAATTGATCTGCTATTTGTTGCCCTCAAGTAAACATTCAGTAATACTGGGTTTGTTTGTACTAGCTCCCAAAAATAAAAATGAAGGAGGTAAATATTCTAGATAAGCATTTGGTATATAAGTGCCTAAAGACTCGTACTTGCTGAGCAAAGAGACACAGAGTTAGAATCTCTAATAATAGGAACCACTGGAAGAGGATAAGCTCCCCCCACCACCTTGGTTCTGCTTGCAGGTCTAGTGGGTCCTTACTCTGTACCAGCTGTCTCAACAGTGCTCTGTGTCCCAGTAAGACTTTGGGGACACTAGAAGCTGCACCTCCAGTTGGAAGTAGGTTGGTTTTTTCCTGCTCTATGTATCTGTCTTCACACAGATATGTTTCTGTATTCTTTGCTGTATTTTCCACCTGCTGTTTTTTTATGACCATCAAAACACTGAATATGGAATAAACATTTATATTTATAGGAAATATTAATTTCTCAAAAACATGTATTTATTATAGATTTTACATCCTGAAGTCCAAACTCTAGATCTACGAAGCTGTGATATTTCAGATACTGCTCTCCTGCACCTATGTAACTGCAGAAAATTGAAGAAATTAATTTTAAATTCCTCAAAAGAAAACAGAATTTCCATAACTTCAAAAGGTATGTTTATTAACACAATGAATTGGTTGAGTACTGTTCACCATCTGGCATAAGTTTGGAGCAGAGAAGGGGAAAATATGTTAAAAGAGAGTATAAGTATGTCAAAGAAATAGGAACTATATTTATCAATAAAATATTCAAACTAAGCTAAAGAATCCAAATTAGAATTCTTGCTTATAATCAGCACTGGAAGTTGGGAAATACACTAAGTCACTACCTTGAAGTTTAAACATGTTTAAAATAAACATGGATAGATACCTCTATATTTTAAATATTTTACCTAGTATAGTGAAACAAGAAATGACCAGTTCATACTTTGTTAAGGCTTTCTTGTAATAGTACAACAGAAAGTTAAATCATCATCAGATTAAATTTACTAGGCACTCTCCTATCAGCCTGTTCACTGCATAGTTTTGTAGCCAGAGCATAAGCTGCCCCATTTTGAACAGCACAAAACTAATCATATATTTTCCACTTCTGCTGCCATAAAACTATGTTAGACAATGACTGATTGACTGGGAAAGAACTAATCCCGCTTGCTTAATTCCAGATACCAACTTCAAAGACATTGGCCTGGAAGATGGCAACAATTTATACTATAAGCCAGTCAAATAGCAAAATCACCAAGCTCCCAGTTCCCTGAAAGATATAAAGGTCTAACACACACTCCTAAGTTGTTTTTACAGGAAGCGTACCCCCACGAGATGAAAACTGCTGACCATCAGCACGTAGACCCCAGACTGGTTGAAACCAGAAGATTGGTGTTGCTTGAAACTTCACCTTGATGCCAGCCAATCTGAAAATTGTGTACAAACTGCTCATGTACCCTGCAGCTCCCTCCCTCACACTGCCTATAAAACCTTTGTCTCCCATCCGGCAACTTGGAGATGGTCTTAGGACAGTAGTCCACTAGCTTCCCAGGTTGCTGGCCTCCTGAATACAGCAAACTTTTCCTTTTCCACCAATACTTGTCTCTGGAGTATTGGCCTTTCGAGCAGCAAGCAGCTGAACTTGGTACCGGCCTTGTCCAGTTACAGTTTTTTTTTTTGTTTTTTTGCGGTATGCGGGCCTCTCCAGTTACAGTTTTTTATAGCCAGACAAACTGCATTTTTCAGTGTGACTGTTACATGAATTAATGGATTTTTACCATTTTTTTTCAATAGAGGATTTTTATCTTTTTCTTCAGTATAAGAAAGAAAGAGTTATTTGGCTACCTAGGTTTCTGAAAAATCTTGTGGGTAGTTGGCTCTATTTTACAATCAGCTTGGTTAGCAAGTTAGGATATTCATAATACTGCAAAGAAGCATAAGTTTTAAAATGTTTACACAAATATTGATTCACTAAAAAGAACTTTCATGCTGGACACTAATGAATAAAATAAGAGTTCTTTCTTAAGATATGGAAGACAATAAAAATGACCTACACACGAATTTACCATCTTCCCTTTTGTGTATTTTGCCCATGAAAGTGTCTTTTAACAGTGCTATAATGTTTGTCCATGACTAAAGGGCCCAGGATTCCTGAAGTACGTTTCTATTTATGTGGCACATTATCACGTACCTGTCACCAAAGTGCTTTTACATCAGTTGAATTGGACTTAAGGGCTTCTGTTTTCTTGACCGTTGATAAAATGTAAGATTGGTCCAGGCTAACAAAGAAGGTGCATGTTGGTAGCAAAGGGCAGAATCAAAGAGGGAAGAGAGAACACAGAGATACAGGTATGATTCCTAAGGATAAGCATGAAAACTATTACTTAAGACATTTGGGCCATTTAACTTTTGATTTCTTTTCAGAGTCCACGAGAAAATTAACTTTATTTAAAACTTTTAACAAAAAGGAGAATCATCTACTATTTAATTACCTATTTTGGTTCTGAATGACTTTTGGCTATTTCCTAAAAGCAAGTCTAATCATAAACAAAAAAGTCTTGTCATTAATTGCAGATATTCTGAAGAATATACCACAGATTATGTAGAGAATTCTTGAAACATTCCAAAAGAGTTTTAAATAATGACAACATCACTGGAAATAAAGTATATCCCCACATGCATACTTTGAAAAAGGCTAACGTGCAATTGGATGTATCAGTACTGGTGATTGATGAAATGAAAATCAGTTATATTTCTCATATATAAACATATATAGCTCATTGATACAGAATTATGTTTTCCCTCAGGAATAAAAGCTGTGGCTTCATCTTGTTCTTACCTGCACGAAGCTTGTTTGAAAAGATGCTGCAATCTCACTGATGAAGGAGTCCTTGCTCTTGCACTCAATTGCCGGCTGCTAAAGATCATTGATTTAGGTGGCTGCTTAGGTATTACTGATGTGTCCTTGCAGGCATTAGGAGAAAACTGCCCATTTTTGCAGTGTGTTGATTTTTCAGCTACTCAGGTAAATGAAATACAGACTTGAAAGGTAGAGACTGTATGTATTTGCCCAGAGTATTTCCATAACTCATCAGAACATAATTAATTCTTTTTGTTGTTTGCTAAAAATTTTTTTATTTATTTGTTTATTTATGTATTTATTTATTTCTGGTTATGTTGGGTCTTCGTTGCTGCGAGCGGGCTTTCTCTAGTTGCAGAGAGTGGGGGCTACTCTTCGTTGCAGTGCACGGGCTTCTCATTGCGGTGGCTTCTCTTGTTGTGGAGCATGGGCTCTAAGGTGTGCGGGCTTCACTAGTTGTGGTGTGTGGGCTTCAGTAGTTGTGGCTCGCGGGCTCTAGAGTGCAGGCTCAGTAGTTGTGGCGCACGGGCTTAGTTGCTCCACAACATGTGGGATCTTCCTGGACCAGGGCTCGAACCCGTGTCCCCTGCATTGGCAGGCGGATTCTTAACCACCGCACCACCAGGGAAGTCCACTAAAATTGTTGGCTTCATGCTTTGATAGTTAAATAATTACAGTATAATTTGGCACCCCCCCCCCCCAGTTATTTTCAGTAAGGGTGGAAGGTATGTGTGGCTAAGACACCTTTGCCAAACGGGAGGAAATAAAACTATATCTAAATAATTAATCATTTTTATAAACGTTTGCTTCCATCATCTCCATTTACGTGCTATGTTCCTCTTTTCCTTTGCTCAGGTATCTGACAGTGGTGTGGTTGCGCTTGTTAGTGGACCTTGTGCCAAGAAATTAGAGGTAATTTTAAAATATCTGTAAAGATGATGATTATCTGAATTCACATTATCCTCAGAAATTCTTTTTTAAACCTAGAAGACAACCAGTGCCTTATTCTCAATTAGATATTAAAATGGACTTTTTTTTTTTTTTTTTGCCTCCACCTCTTTATTCCCAGAGTGAAGAAAAACTGATTAAAGTTAGGAGATAAAGTATACTTTATAGTAAATCCCATTTTACTTCCAATAAAAGTTCTTATTCTCCAGAAATTTTAGCTTCTAATACATTTAAAGATAGTCTTATTATGGATGAAAATACTGAAAATTTATCAATGTAAAATGACATTCTTTAGAATTTTCATGTCTGGCTGATATTTTTACCAGGACTACTTATTCTCTTGCCAGTGTTTTTTTCTTGACATCATATTTTTTCTCTTGCCATCATCTTTTTCTGAATCCATGAAGGGATACAGACTATACCACTGTGGCATAAAAATTATTTTGATCTGAAGATGTCTGAGAAACAACAAGGGTTAAAAAAAAAAAAGAGACTTTGTCTTAAACCCCACCTTCCCCCATCTGCCTAAAAGCAGACCATTCCAAAAGAATTCAACTGCCTCAAACCCCCTTTAAGGTAGGCTTCCCATACATGGGGAAGTCAGATGACAAATTGCATTAAATAAACATTGTCATAAGATTATCGTTAAGTCCCATCTATTCTCCTAAAGGTCATTTTGTCTTCCCTAAAAAGTCACTTGTTTTTCTGAGTGTCCTTTCTCCTCCTCCCCTTCCCCTATTAAGATGGTATATAAACTCTAAATTCTAGCCATTTCTTTGAGCCACTTTCTTTGTGATCTTGTGAATAAACTTCATCTTTTCTCTTGCTAATCTTACTGTCAGTTTAATTCGAAGGCTTCCAAAGACAAACATAAGAGGATAGAGAAAAGGTTTTTCCTCTCCAGAAGCCACATTGTGCAGCTGTTTAAAAAGATCTTAAATTAGTGTTCAGCCTTTGTATCCAATGACTGATGTGATACCTGTAACCTATTTCTAAATATGAAGAAGACTTTTGTCCCAAGATTTTGTTTTTTTCCTTTTTCAGTTTACAATGTTTTATTTTGTTTTTACTCATAATTAATATAGCTGTGCTTTTCAACAATAAATCACAGCAAATCCTTTTTGGAAGTAAGCTGGCTATAAATGAACTATAAAAGTTAGTAATCACTATTATAATAGAATGGTGGTGCCATGTTTTTGCCAAAATATTTCTGCTTGATTTAATGCTCAAATAGTTTTTTTGGTGATATTTATATATTTGCATTCTGCTTGTATTTATGTATGTATGTGTATGTGTGTGTATAAAATAGCATATATATTTTTACAAATCTTTTAATTAAGAAATTCCTTTCTTTAAAATATGAAGTTCCAAATTCCAAATTGCATTCTAACTGTAGGGACAATAACTGCCATAATTTTTACTGTTTAAATACTAACATTTGTTGAGCACTTACTACATTCTAGCCTCCATGCTACTGCCTTATATTCATCAGGTTATTCAATTTTTACATTATCCTATAATCACCATCATTTTTTTTTTAACATCTTTATTGGAGTATAGTTGCTTTATAGTGGTGTGTTAGTCACCATCATTTTTAACAAAGTTCTCAAACAGTTAACCTAGTTTATCACTTCCTAATAAAACCACCAGGAAATTAGTTGTTATGCAGTGGTAGGAAATATACCTACATATTTACTTCAGCTTTATAAAATTAGGAGCACCAACCTAAGCAGACTTAGGAAAAAATCCAGTAACCAATGTGTTGGTCATTGTAGTGTCATTGAATTTTTCACTTTTTCAGTTTTCCAAAGCTTATTTCTGTTAAGTGCCAAAACATTTTAATGGAAATCTTTCTGAAATTTGTTAGAACTTAATTCCTTCCTTAAAGGAATATATTTTAACCTTTGGCTCATAGCATCTTTCTGACCACAATTTCTGACTGAAACTGAAATACAGATGTCTTCATCTTTTTAACTGATTCTTCTCTTTTGGGTAACATGTATGCCTGCTATTTATTAGATACCTTGTTTTAATCTGTTGCTTTTAATTTGTTCAATTCTGGAAAATTAAATTACCAATGTTGCTAAATAGTTTATAATTTGAAAATAAATTTGATTAAAAGTCTAAGGACCTCTCCTAAAGATTGACATTTAGTACAAACGTATGCTACAGCGTTTGTTGAATGTCAGGATTGCCTCTGAAATCTCTGTTGATCTGAGTTCTCAGTGAGCATGGACCATTTTGTTCATCACTTTGTTGTCATTTTATCCCCAGGTTTGACTGCAGTTCCAGACATATGGTAGCACCTAATAAATGTTATCATATTCTTAACTTCATATTACAGTCATTTTATAGTTTTCTGTAGTCTTCATGATTAAAAGTTTAATTTGCTGTATAAAATTATTCATTTATTAAACAACTATTTATTGAGTATCTGCTGTGTTCTAGGCACTGGCATATCAGAGAACAAAATCTGTCCATGTTATGTATCACTTTCCTTTAATCATTTTTCTAATGTTGGTAATTCAGATTATTTACAGCTTTTAGCTACTGGAAATATTCATATGTTGGGACATACCACTTTTTTCTTCCATTGCTATAATGAACTCTCCATAATGAAACAAGTGGATCAATAGGTATGAATCCTTTTTTTAATGGTCCCAAATTCAGATTGCTGAATTGTTTCCCATAAAGGTTATGTTGTGAATTCACAGTTTTTGCTAGGACCCCAATTTGCCAGAGTTGAATATTTTCTTTTTTTTAATGCCTTAATATATTTTAAATGAAACCTGACTTGAACACTGTTCCTTCCATCTCTTGTTCTCAGTTGTATTTCATTGTCTGTAGCCTTTGCCAATTCATATCATAGGATGCCTTTGCCAATGTATAATATACAATGCTTTCTGCCTCAATTTTTATGAGTTTTCAATATATTCAAGTTTCCTTTATTTCTAAGATATGATTAATTATAATATGTACACCAACATAGTATTTCTTTTCTCCTGAAAAGCTGATATTACCATAAGTATACATATCAATTACCACATGAATCTTATTTCCAGAATTGTTAAATTTTTTTAATGTGGGCAAATATACATAAAAATTGCTGTTTTAACCATTTTTAGTGTACAGTTCAGTAGAATTAAGTACATTCACATCATTGTGCAGCCATCACCATTAACTATCTCCAGAACTTTTTCATCATCCCAAATTGAAACTCTACCCTTTAAACAATAACTCCCCATTATCTTCTCCCCCAGCCTCTGGCAACCTCTGTTCTATCTTCTGTCTTTATGAGTTTGCCCATTATAATCACATTTTTTTTTTTAACCCATTCATCCATTGATATGTTTCCACCTTTTGGCCATTGTGAATACTGCTGCTATGAACATAGGTGTACAGATATCTGTTTGGGTCCCTGCTTTCAATTCTTTTGGATATATCCCTAGAAGTGAAATAGCTAGATCATATGCTAATTCTATGTATAATTGTTTGAGAAACTGCCATACTGTTTCCATAGCAACTGTATCCTTTTACATTCTCACCAGCAATGCAAAAGGGTTCTGAATTAGAACATTAAACAAAAGATAGATAATGTTTCAAATATATGAAAAAGTATAGAAAGTAATATAACAGACCTGTGGACCAACCCCTTGAATTTTAACATTTTCTGCATTTGTTCCAGTTCTTTTTTAAAAAATTATTATATGTTACATCTAAAGCTCCCTCCCCTTATTTATTCCCCCTTTCTTCCTTCAGAGGTAACCACTCTTCTGTGCATCTTTCCTTCCATAGTTGGATGCTTCATCTCTCTCTCTATGCATATGTGTGTGTATGTGTATATATATCCAATAAATAAGATATTGTATTGTTTTATATGTTTTTAAATAGTACATAATAGTTTCATAGTGTGTGTGTTGTTTTACAATTTGCTTTTTTATTCAAAATTATGTTTTAAAATTTTTTCAAGCTTTATTGAGGTTTAATTTACATACAATAAAACTCACCTATTTTAAGTGTACAGTGTGATGAATTTTGGTAATTGTTATACAGCCTTGTAACCACGACCACAGTTAAGTATAGAATATTTCCATCACCCTAAGAGGTTATCTCCCATCCCTTTGCAGTCAGTGCCCTGCTGTGGCCCTCTCCCAAGCAACCACTGATTTTGTCAGTATAGTTTTGCCTTTTCTATACTTTTATATGAATGGAATCATGCAGTAAATTGTCTTTTGGTTTTTTACTTTTTTCTTTTACTTCTTTCACTTGGCATAATGTTTTTGAGATTCACCCATGTTGTTGCACGTGTTAATATTTCATTCCTTTTTTTTTCTGAGTAGTATTCCATAGTCTGGAATATGACACAGTTTGTTCATACATTCACCATTTGATGGACATCCAGGTTGTTCCAATTTTGGATGATTATAAATACTGCTATGGACATTTGCATACAAGTCTTTGTGTAGACATATGGTTTCATTTTGAGGGGGTAAATACCTAGAATGAAATTGCTGGGTCATATAGTTGAGTACATGTTTAGCTTTATAAGATGCTACCATAGTGTTTTCTAAAGTGTCTGAACTAACATTATGTTTAAGATTTATATCTATTAATACAAATAGATATTTTTCATTGTAGCTGTTTTATCTTATTACAATATATTAATGAACCACCATTTATTTACCCAGTCTCCACTTCTTTACTATTACAGATAATATTGCAATTGGCATATTTATAAGTTGTTTCCTTACGCACATGTACAAGAGTTTCTCTCTATATAGTGGACATCTGCAGTTGGAATTGCTGGGTTCTGGGGCATACTTACTGTCAGTTTTAATAGATACTGCCAAATTGCCTTATAAAGTGGTTGGGCATTTAACTCTTAAAGGTACTATACCTTCCAAATTACTACAGAATTTCACTGGTCCTTTCTATAGAGTTTTTCTTGCAAGTTGATATTTGGGTTTTTTGTTATCAGAGTACAGTATTTCCCAAGCCTTTTCACACTGTTATTATTGTCCTATTTTTTCTTTTGATTATACTTTCTTTATTTTTAAATAGGAGATTCATATGGGATATTGTGTGAATCTGACTGATGAGGCTGTAGAAGCTGTCCTTACTTGCTGTCCTCAGATATGTATATTACTCTTCCATGGATGCCCCCTGGTAACAGGTTAGTATGAGGCTGCTTGGGTTCAAATCTTGGTTTCACCTTTTAATAACTGTGTGACCTTGAGTAAATTACTTAACCCATTCCATTATTCAGTTTCCTCACATTAAGTGGGTATAATGACAGTATCTGCCTCATAAACTTGGTCATGATGATTATCTGACAACACTTCATATGGTGCCTAGCACATAGTGAGGGCTCAGTAAATGTTAAGTCATGATGATGATGGTGATGGTGGTGATGGCAAATGCTCAGTAAATGTTAACTGCCTTGAGGAGGATGATGGTGGTAGTGGTAGTGGTCATGATATTAAACATTATGCTTTATGAAGTCAAGTTTATAATATTACATCTTTCAAATATGCTAAATGACCTGCTTTTTTTTTCCTAATTTATTTTATTTACTTATTTATTTATTTTTGTCTGTGTTGGGTCTTTGTTGATGTGCACGGGCTTTCTTTAGTTGTGGCGAGCGGGGGCTACTCTTGATTGCGGTGTGTGGGCTTCTCATTGTGGTGACTTCTCTTGTTGTGGAGCACGGGCTCTAGGCGCGCAGGCTTCATTAGTTGTGGCATGCAGGCTCAGTAGTTGTGGCTCGTGGGCTCTAGAGCACAGGCTCAGTAGTTGTGGTGCATGGGCATAGTTGCTCCGCGGCATGGGGGATCTTCCTGGACCAGGGCTCAAACCCGTGTCCCCTGCATTGGCAGGTGGATTCTTAACCACTGCGCCACCAGGGAAGCCCCATAAATGACCTGTTAACTGTAATCTCATCAAGCTGTAGCCATTGAGATTCAGAATCATTTGGCTAATGTGGTACTTCACTAAAGTAGTCACAGCCCTTCTGGCTTGTATAAGAGCCATAATACCCCTTTCACATCACCCCTACAGTGGGTCCCATACCACAGTATAACCAGGATCTTATGTGTGAGTCAGTACTTATGCCCAGCCCTTCCAGCTCTTTTTCCTAATTACAGTCTAATAGTTACTATCCTAGAAGTCCTTTTTGTTTGTTTGGTTTTGTTTTTGTTTTGCGGTACGGGCCTCTCACTGTTGTGGCCTCTCCCGTTGTGGAGCACAGGCTCCGGATGCGCAGGCTCAGCAGCTATGGCTCACGGGCCCAGCCACTCCGCGGCATGTGGGATCTTCCCGGACCGGGGCACGAACCCGTGTCCCCTGCATTGGCAGGCGGACTGTCAACCACTGCACCACTAGGGAAGCCCTAGAAGTACTTTTGACATCTTCTGGTTTTTCTTGTGTTTGGACTGCCAATCTAAACTAAGCCTGTAATGGGTTGTATTTGGTTATCAGTGACATCTATAATGAAGACTAAATCTTATTTTAGGCAGACATCTCTCAACACTAAAGCCAAAAGTGACGTTAGAAACTGTTACCAGTGGGTACCTCTAGGGAAGGTTGTGGAGAAACAAGACTAGGAAAAAGCTTTCACCATATACCCGTTTGTCCTTTTGAATTTTGTATCATGTGAATGATTTTACCTGTTAAAAATTAGTAATCATAATTTTAAGAAAATAATTTAGAACCAGAAAAATTCATGTGACTGAGTACGGGGAATTGGTACATGTGAACACTATTCTGGGGGTTATGAGAAGGCAGGCAGAGGCTCTCTGGTCATCAAACAAGGCAGAAAATTATATTCTAACAAGTAGGCTATTATTGTAAGGTGGAGGAGACCACAGTATGTGAAATGTAATAACAGCAATTTTGGATAATAGGTCTTTTCAGAATACCAACTAAAAGTATGTAAATCTACTCACTGAGCTATACGTACGTTTAATCAATACATTGAACAAGAGAGTGGTACTCACAAAGTGACACCATCTTCCTCACACTATATTCATTACAGGTTTAATCTAAAGGGCCTAATATTTCCCAAAGCCAAATGAAAATCTCCGACATGTGCCACTGACTTTTCTTATCATTCTCAGATAGTTAAAAGTCTTGTCATTTCATATCACTGAAACCCTCTCATTTCAGCAATTAAAACGTCTTAGACCCACATCATACTCCAAACAAGTTCAAATTAAAGCTTTTTGCTCCTCCAGTCAGCTCAAGTTTGCTGTAGGTGGAAGCGCTGCTGTGGGTAAGGGGACGTGGTTACTCTGTTTTACCACCTTGCGCTTCTCTTCTTCCTTTCCCAGCTTGCCCACCATGGTTTCTGACCCCACCAGTGTCAGTACAGGGTGGGACTGCAGTGAGCAGAAGGGAAGGGACGGGAAAGGAAAGTCTAACTTGACTACTACGGCTGTGATCTAGCGGCAGCGCTGAGGGCCTGTGGGGAGCTCATCCTGATCCGTGCTCTCTCAAAAGTGGGGCACTTCTGATCTTCAGGGTCCACTTTCCGCCACTCCCCTCATCACTGCATATATCTCCTACATCTACAGTTCTCTTGATTCAAGCACATGTGTCTCTTCTGGCTAGTAGCTAGCATTTTCTTCCTCTGCACCCAGGCAGCTGGCGGTACACCTTCAGTCTCTTTCTGTTGAGGTTTCCTAGACCATCCAAGTTGCTTTCATGAGCAAACTACAAGGCAACCCATGCCAGCCCACATCTGTCCACAGGAAACACAATACTTTAGACAGTAAGAGTGCAGGTTATTTCCCAACTTCAGTCCTCTCTTTAGCCACATGGACTCTTACCATAGCCTTTTGCTTTTTAGTTTTCTCAGGTCTGATATTAGTGTAATGTGTCTCCCAAGCTCCAAGGGACAAATCAGATTCTCCAACTGATCTCCTTAGAGCCCCCTCTCACTAGGCTTGAAGGCAAGAGCAAGCACCTGCAACCCTCTTTCGACAACTCAAATCATAACTGTCTTCAAAAAAATCCTTTCTTCAATTTCCAGTTTTCCGTCACTTCCCACTTTAACACTTTTATATCTTTGAATGGATGAGGCACCACGGATTCCAAAATGAGTTTTCAGCCAAGCATTTGCAAATCATGTACAAGTCTGGTATCTCATTTTGGAATGAGAGAGTAGCTGGTACCTCTAGTCCTGGAACCTTAGCTGAAATAGTTAATGTTTTAATGTTCTGTTATATTTGTCTCAGGATAACTTGGCTACATAACATGTTATAAACTCAGCCTTTGCTAATTTTATCTTGATTATCTTTCTGGTTACAATTTGGAAATAGTTAATTGGCATTTTCCCTCTACTTTTAATAGAAGTGAAGACAAACTATACACACAGTCAACCAGAAAAACTTATCCTTAGGCAAACTGCTTAAAACAATCATCAAAGACCCTATAGGTAATGAAATCTTTAAAAGGTACAACCAAAAACTTAAAATTTGAGTACAACAAGGCCAGTAATAAAATGCTTAAAGGTGCCTGTATCAATATAGAAATGACTAACAAATATGAATTTTGAAGTCTGGAAAATATGTTGCAGTTATTAGTCTGATTTTTAAAGCAGAAGGCTTTTGAGATAAATTATTTAATTACTGAGATCACTGGAAACCAAAGATGTATTATCAGTTGGTGAATTCAAGAGAAATGCCTACCTGGTATGATTATAGATACTAGGAAAACTTAATCCCACTAAATCTTTACACATCCACATAATGGCTCAGAATACTGAATTTACCAACTATCTTGCTGCTGAGCAACAGCTACATAACCCCCTCCTCAGCTCAGTCTTCTGGAAATTCCCTTACCTTACTCCCTTTCTGAGTAAGGGAAAGTTCTGTTGTGAGGGGCTCCCCTTCCATGCAACCCCTTCAAAGTGCTGCCCAATTAAAGCTCATTGTGTGCTACTGCCACCTTGTGGACGTATCTTTTTCCTTGATCTGCCCCACAATCCCTTGATCTCACTAACTACAGTTATATGGTATGGTGTTCTAGAAGACATCAAGGGATAAAGCATAAAACAAAATATGTTTATATGTCCAAATGTTTGGGAAATGCAACATACCACTGTAATGAATATTAATTTCTCAAAGGCTCTGAGAAATACTATTGCTAAGAAACTTAACTTTTTTTATCTAAGTGCCAGGGAGTTAGACGTTTTCCTCTACCCTTTTAGGTTCTTCCGGCTGGTCTAAGAATTAAATTGATAGGAGGCAGATTAAGAGGCGAAAATCAAACAAAAGTTTAATAACATGTATACATGGAAGAGACCCAGGAGAACTGAGTAACTCACCAAAATGGCTGAAACCCTCGCCTTAAATAACATTTTCAGCAGCTAAAGAGGATGTTGGGGGTAGAGGTTTGAGACTTCAAAAGGGAGGAAGGCAATTCACATGAAAGATGAAAAAGCAAATGTTTGGTAAACAAATATTTGTTGGGCCATGCAGCGCAGTTTGCGCTATAAAGGTACTCTCATCTCTAGGCCCTGCTGAGTTTCCACCACCACGCCTAGCCCATATTTTTGCAGACAACCTCTGGCGATAACTTGATCTATACTTCTTTTAGGCAGTAAGGGGGAAGGTCAAAATTTCTTCTTGAGTCTTTTGGTCCTTGATTGTTATCAGCTTGAAATAATCCTCATGCCAAAGAGACATTTTGGGGTGGCACGTTTTGCTCCCCCACCCAAGCATTTCCCACATATTTTTTAACAGAATAATTCATGAATTATTATTTTGATCCCTCCTTTCACAGAAGAGGAAAGTGAGAAACTGAAATGGTATTTGTCCATTGTGACGTAGTTTTTAATAACAGTGCTAAGATTAAACAAAAATCTCAAGATAAAGTGAAATGAGCACCAATCCCTAGTCTCCTACCATCTCTCTAAAACACTGAATAACTTAACTTCTGTGGACCTCAACTTTTCCTTACATATAAATGTCAGTCATAAAATTGGGTGATCTGATAATAATATAAGAGTTCACATACAATGGCTTTTACCGATAAAGTTTCTTAAAGAGAAAAAAAGCTGAAGTTTTTCAACTACCCAGATCATCTCTACTCTTCCCGCTTTCCTGTCAGCACCTACCATTGTGTATTTTTGCCACCATCATTGAATGAAAATAAAGTGGGCTAATATATTCA